CCATGGATTTAGTGCAACAATCATAGTTAAACCATAGATTTAGTGCATCAATCATAGTTAAACCATGGATTTACTGCAACAATCATAGTTAAACCATAGATTTAGTGCATCAATCATAGTTAAACCATGTATTTAGTGCATCAATCATAGTTAAACCATGGATTTACTGCAACAATCATAGTTAAACCATAGATTTAGTGCATCAATCATAGTTAAACCATGTATTTAGTGCATCAATCATAGTTAAACCATGGATTTACTGCAACAATCATAGTTAAACCATAGATTTAGTGCATCAATCATAGTTAAACCATGTATTTAGTGCATCAATCATAGTTAAACCATGTATTTAGTGCATCAATCATAGTTAAACCATGGATTTAGTGCAACAATCATAGTTAAACCATAGATTTAGTGCAACAATCATAGTTAAACCATAGATTTAGTGCATCAATCATAGTTAAACCATGGATTTACTGCAACAATCATAGTTAAACCATGTATTTAGTGCAACAATCATAGTTAAACCATGGATTTAGTGCAACAATCATAGTTAAACCATAGATTTAGTGCAACAATCATAGTTAAACCATGGATTTACTGCAACAATCATAGTTAAACCATAGATTTAGTGGAACAATCATAGTTAAACCATAGATTTATTGCAACAATCATAGTTAAACCATAGATTTATTGCAACAATCATAGTTAAACCATGGATTTAGTGCATCAATCATAGTTAAACCATGTATTTAGTGCATCAATCATAGTTAAACCATGGATTTACTGCAACAATCATAGTTAAACCATAGATTTAGTGCATCAATCATAGTTAAACCATAGATTTAGTGCATCAATCATAGTTAAACCATGTATTTAGTGCAACAATCATAGTTAAACCATGGATTTAGTGCATCAATCATAGTTAAACCATAGATTTAGTGCATCAATCATAGTTAAACCATGGATTTAGTGGAACAATCATAGTTAAACCATGGATTTAGTGCAACAATCATAGTCAAACCATAAATTTAGTGGAACAATCATAGTTAAACCATGGATTTAGTGCAACAATCATAGTTAAACCATGGATTTACTGGAACAATCATAGTTAAACCATAGATTTAGTGCAAAGTTAAACCATGGATTTACTGCAACAATCATAGTTAAACCATGTATTTAGTGGAACAATCATAGTTAAACCATAAATTTAGTGGAACAATCATAGTTAAACCATGGATTTAGTGCAACAATCATAGTTAAACCATGGATTTACTGGAACAATCATAGTTAAACCATAGATTTAGTGGAACAATCATAGTTAAACCATAGATTTATTGCAACAATCATAGTTAAACCATAGATTTAGTGCAACAATCATAGTTAAACCATAGATTTAGTGCAACAATCATAGTTAAACCATAGATTTAGTGCATCAATCATAGTTAAACCATGGATTTACTGCAACAATCATAGTTAAACCATGGATTTAGTGCAACAATCATAGTTAAACCATAGATTTAGTGCATCAATCATAGTTAAACCATGGATTTACTGCAACAATCATAGTTAAACCATAGATTTAGTGCAACAATCATAGTTAAACCATAGATTTAGTGCATCAATCATAGTTAAACCATAGATTTCGTGCATCAATCATAGTTAAACCATGGATTTACTGCAACAATCATAGTTAAACCATGGATTTACTGCAACAATCATAGTTAAACCATGGATTTAGTGCAACAATCATAGTTAAACCATAGATTTAGTGCATCAATCATAGTTAAACCATGGATTTACTGCAACAATCATAGTTAAACCATAGATTTATTGCAACAATCATAGTTAAACCATGGATTTACTGCATCAATCATAGTTAAACCATGGATTTACTGCAACAATCATAGTTAAACCATAGATTTAGTGCATCAATCATAGTTAAACCATGGATTTACTGCAACAATCATAGTTAAACCATAGATTTATTGCAACAATCATAGTTAAACCATGGATTTACTGCATCAATCATAGTTAAACCATGGATTTAGTGCATTTTAATATTTTCAAAAAAAATGTTTTACTCTAAAAATGTAGATGTTAAACCGAGGTCATGACTCTCTGTGGTCATTAAAAACCCCAGGATGTCCTTCGAAAAAGAGTAAGGGTATAACCCCAAATCTGCCCATTAGCCTCTGTCCATCACGGCCTCCTAATCATCCCCATACACTGATTGGCTTCTTCACTGTCCTACTCTCCACCAGTATGCTGGTGTGTGTGTGGTGGGCGTTCTGGCGCAATATGGCTGCCGTAAAGCTTTGAGTACCCAGGAAAAGGATATATAAGGCAAGAGAAAAAGGGGACACCCCCAAAAGACTTGGAAGCAGAATCCAAAAAAATGGGACTGTCAAGGAGACAACTGGAGAAACCGGCCCAAGGACCGTGAACGTGAAGTTACTAATCCGAAACTCTAACTCCAAAATTAACCATGGTTTTACTACAGTAACTATATATTATACTATTATTATTATAGATGGGTTTTGTAGTAAAATCATGCACAGAAAGTATACTGTGGAAGAAATAATAAAGCAGGATTTTAATTGTTTTCTTCATTAAAATGGCTTTTGCTATCACTTATAATTGTTATAACTCTCAGCAGTATGATTCGTCTCATAAGCACTAAGCTGCAGGCCAGTATTGGGTTTTGTAGAGGATATAAGTGTGATTGACTGTATTTTTGCAGCTGTGATGGAATAAAGCATTTCAACTCTTCAAATGTTTCACGTTTCTGCCATCTAGTGTCTGAGAACAGCTTTACAAACTGCTCTTGAGAATTCAGTTCAACATGATGAACAGTGGAATCTTTAATCTATAACTCAGTATTTCAAATAAATTGGATGAAATATTAAATGTAATTATACGCTATGCTTACATATACTGTATAATTGTGTATAGCCCTATTGCATTAGATGGCATATTAAACTCAGCTATATATTGATACCGTAATAGTTAAATATATACAAAAATTATTAAATGTTATAAAAAAAAACAGAAATGTAAATTTGTAAAATATAAATATTAAAGTAAAACGAAGATACGTTTCACACGAAAATACCATTTCAGTCTTTCTACTTAAAAACGTCATGTTTATTTCAAAGTTATTTGCTGATTCTTTATTTATTTGTGAATTTTAAGTCTATCTATCTATCTATCTATCTATCTATCTATCTATCTATCTATCTATCTATCTATCTATCTATCTATCTAGCTAGCTAGCTAGCTAGCTAGCTATCGCGACCTTCAAAGTCAAACAACAAAGAACTACAAACCAACATGAAGTTTGTTTTCCACAAATGTAAATCAAGTTATTTAAGATTCGATTCGTACCTTGCTCTGCTATTATTCTCCGTAACCAAGATCTTTTTTATAGATAAAAAAAAATTAAATTATTTTGTCAACATTCGTGGCAAACGGTTATTCGCGCCACGAAAAATAGTTACGGTACACGAACACGACACAGGCCAAAACGGTGAAACGCGCGTTGTTCCGCAAAGGATTGAGTAGCCGAGAGTAATGGACGGTTCCCACTCACGAAAGTAATGGGAAAACAGTCCATTTGTTTGTGAATTAAGTTTTTTTATTTTTTTATTTTTTACCGGTTTAAGAAAAAAAAGCATATCGAAACCCGTGTTTTCTAGCCATTTATTTCACGGTACCATCACATTGAAACAGGAAAAACTGCTTTTTTACTGGGATAAATCTGAGGTGGGGATATATAACAAATAATAATATAAATGTTTTCAGGGCAGCTTTAAATCCGCCCCTGCAGGCGTTCCTCATGAATATTAATTACGCATGATGACGGCGTCGGCGTGCCGCTCGGCGTCATTAGCCTATTAATATTCAATCATGACTCAAGAGTCGTGTCATTATGATCAAATCTTTAATATTTTTATGAAGCACCAAAAAATGTATGATAGAAGACGAGGTGGCCGAGTGGTTAAGGCGATGGACTGCTAATCCATTGTGCTCTGCACGCGTGGGTTCGAATCCCATCCTCGTCGACTGGTTTTGGGCGGGAATAATTACTGTTTATATGATTAAGATACTGTAAACTGTGTGGCCAGATGAATAAACACGGCCATTATGTTAAAACCAGCCGGGTTTGACCAACACTTAGAAGTAATCAGACGGTCACTTTACAATAAGGTTCATTAGTTAATGTATTAAGAGAACCATGAGCAATATATTTGATACAGGATTTATGAATCTTAATGTTAGTTGATAAAAGTACAGCCGTTCATTGTTTGTTCATGGTGCATTAACTAACGTTAACAAGATTTTTATAAGGAATGTACATTAACTAAGATGAATAAATGTTGTATAAGAGCAGTTCATGCTAACTAATGTAGTTATAATGAACCTTATTCTGGTGTTACCAATCAGCCTTTATTGGTATTAAATTAGACCAATCTGTGTTTTAATGTAACTGACTTTAAAATAATGACGAGCATGGACGTTTCTGTGCCACTTTAGAAAAAAAAACACTTTGGTTAATAATTTTGACATGACACATCATTATTTTTTTCTTATGTGGTATTAATGAGCAGTACTGCTTTATTTATTTGTATTCTATGATTGTATTGTTGTATTTAGGTGTGGAATGGAATCTATATTAAAAACAAACTCAAAATCATTAAAAACTGCAGTATAATTATATACATGGAAAACAAACTAAGCCGCCATGGTTTCATTTCATCTGCAGATGCTTGTCTATGCATTTATTTTTGTAGATTACTAATTATTAAACCAAAAGTCACTTCTGTCTGGGATTTGTTTGACTTGAGAAATATTTGATGCATTTTTCCTCAACATCCCTTTGGCCAAAATCATTTGTGCGTTGATGTGCACAATCTCAGTTTATATATTAGATACATTTAGAGAGATTAGCTAATATATATATACATATATATATATAAATTGATCACAGCTCAAGTCTCTGCAAGCAAACGCTTCATCTTTATTCCAATTATAGACACACATCATTAACTTTAATAATCTCCAGGAGAAACAGCTAGTTTATGTTGACAGAAACTAAGCATAACTATTAATAATGCCCTTTACTCGATTCAAAACGCTTCCCATTCCCTTTAAATAAACACGCATTGCAACTTTTGAACAAAAAAAAATCATGTTTATTAAACTTTCCAAGGTAACTTCATGACGTCAGGTTGATGTCGACTCCGCATCACGGAAGTTCAGCCGTCCACAGGTTTAGTCAAGCTGGATTCAGAGAGAAGACAAACCAGTCAGTTTTAGAAGTCATGCATGGAAAAATGAGTAAAAATGCCAACTCGTGTCAGCTTGATCACCTTTTGAACCACATAGACACATTTATGCAGGAACGAAACACAATAAACATGCATGAAAAGTAAAAAAAAAAATGGGGATACGGCATAATAAAAGCAGCTTGCCTTGACGAAGCCGATGTCTTTGGCGTACTGCCGGAAGCACTGGCGGCACATGTTGAGTCCGTACTTGCGGATCAGACCGTGCCGGTTGGAACACACTCGGCTGGAGAAACACAACACGTCAGAATAGAAATGCAAGCAAACACACAGTAACGTATAAATATTATAAGTAAAAATGTGCATTTCAAAACTAATTTGACAGATGACAAAACCAAAAGTGATTAGTGTAAACATACACAATCAATACTTAATTAGCTCCTGACTCAAGCTTTGTGATTGAGGTTTAAAATGCATTCATAATTATTAAAAAAATCAATTATATTAAATTACTTTTAGATTAATGATTTTAGGTCTGAATGGTTTTCTGTTTTTTTATCAACAACAGAAGAATATGTAAAAGTGTAGACAAAAGACAATTTTTAACATGATAATAAACAGCTGACAGACTTTTACATTAATAACACGGTTGGATTCAGATGGAAAATATGCATTTAGTTAGGGGTCCATAAATTTTAATGAAACCACCATATTTAAATATATTGTCCATATCCTAATATATGCTTTGTTACAACTAAATCTATATTAAATTACAGGATCTAACTTGTGTTAACTTGGACATTAGCAAATGCAGCATTTGCATCAGTTTATTATCCCCATTCATTTATAATATTCATAAACCACTTGAGAATATTTTTAACACAAAATCTGGTGCTCTATTGATGTTTAATGCAAACACACACACGCTATTTTCCTGCATTCTTCCACTATTAGCAGGATGGAAGAGCACATTGTTCTTAAACCGGAGTGCCTTCTACCCCTTTATACCCGGTCCAGTAATTTAATGACACGAAAGACGTTAGTTATGCGTTGTAATCGTTCTTAAAACACGTATTATACAGAAATAACGCCTTAAGGAAGCGCTGTTAGCGTTTCCCACATCTGACTAGATCCGCGAGCCGGACTCTGGCGAGCAGGAGACCCGCGGCCGCCATGTTTGTTCGCATGTGCTTCACATTCCTGAGGAAATAACAAACACACGACGGCCTGAGCGAGCCGAGCTCACGCGCACCCCGAACCCATCCCGGTAAACATGCCACAGAAGCACAACTGACCAGGATCGGGATCCCTGGCCGTATTTTCTCGGATGACTCCAGTAGAGCTGCTGATGGCCCATCTCGTCTCTCTCGATCGGGATGTCGAAAAGGAAGGAGAGTCGGTGCGCATGCGCAAAAAATACGCTCTTCTTCTACGAAATGTGAGGCATCCGGTGTAAACATCGAAGACTGCGACGCGTAGTGACCGCTTAGTGAAACCACCTTTAGATTATTTTTATTATTATTTTTATTTTTTTCGTGATATTCGTAAACGAGATACATACAGTAAACCATCATTATTTCAAAATAGGACATCTTCCATCTCTGCGTAAACTTTAGTGTCATGTCATGTGACAGACCTTTTTTCTTGTTTTCTTTCTTTTTCTTTCTTTTTTTGTACAGACAGTGAGACCGAAATATAAACTGGAATAACGCTTGATGTATTTGTGAAGCATACTGTATAAATAATAAAGAAAAAGAGGTTTCATAATATTTTAAAGGATTTTTTTTAAATAGAAGAATAATCTATTATCCATCTGTTATGAGATACTCAAACTTTATTTTGTGTGTGAATGTGGAAAATTTAATTAGAAGGAAAACAAGTGATATAATTAAATTCCTTAATTTTGATAGATGAATTTATTATTCCAATGAAAGCAATAATAATAATAATAATAATAATTTAACTTTTATTGTACGACTTTTTATTATTTTGGAAAATGTTCATCAAAACAAGAAATAAACTATCCAAGATCCAAAACAAATTGTATTCATTTGCTCCAGGAGAGTATTGAACGGCCAAAACGTGTAAAGTTGTTCCATTTTCAGTTGAAAACGGTGTTGTGTAAATGGGCCCAAAAAGCAATAAACCTAAATGTGCCCAAAAACAAAAACATTTCCACCTAGTGGTTGCGATGGCAAACTACACAAAAATAGACATTTATTATTAACTAATTAATTGATCTGGCGAAAAAAAATAAAATAATGTAAACTAAATATAAACTTATTTAACTCTACAGATAAAACCCCATAGATTGCATGTTTTCTGACAAGATGAAAATGTTGGTAGGCGCAATTAGACAAATTAGCGGAAGTGAAATGACTCTCATAATGATCGCTAAATATGTTTAATAGTCAACACTGTTTCAAAGCAGCTTTACATAGATAGATAACAGGAAAATAATGCGACAAAGTTTGTTTCTAGAATAAAATAGCGTCACGCTCCAGCTTGAGTGAGTTTAGTGATGCTTCATTTTTGTTGCTAAAAAAGTTATTATTATTTTTTTAAAGTTATTAATTTATTTCATTTAATATAGCGGCTCTGGAGTAAACCGTGACATCATCATCGTCCAGCGCTCATATAATGCTGTCAATGCAGCAGATCTATAATATTGTTGAATGTTAAAATGAAATGTATGCTCTATGTATAATAATAAGAGCTTTATTGAACTATTTCTCTCAGAAGTGTAAAATGCGAATTGTGTGGGAATGTGACATCATCACGCGCGCGCTGACAGCCGAAGCCCCCCTGGAGGTTTGGTGAAACTGTGTGAGCCTGAGCAACATGACACACTTGAATTAAAATGCGCTTTTTATGTGGATATGACAGCCGCCTTACATGCCCACATCAGCGGTGAGGCTTTTATTCTCTTTGCATGTGTGTTTCGTGTGCATCTGAATGCGGCAGCTCAGTATTCTGCCTTACAATTCGATAGCAGCAAAGCTAACTAGTGTCAAGTGCATCATCAGAAATACACACATCGGCATGCATATGCACGCATCGATTATCTGCCGTCTGAAATGGGGAATATTAAGCAAATATAGACGTGTTGATGAATGCAGTGCAGTGTTTGTGCTTGTATGTGTTTTTCTGTCTCGCGCAGCTGCTTGCTTTAGCTCGAGCATGAAGCTGCAATGAATGCATGCGTGTGCACGAGCTTCCGTCATACTTTCTTATTTTTAAACTTTAACCAGGGCATATTAGTGCAGTCAAACTCGTTGGCTGTTCTGGGAGTCGCGTTAGTGAAGAGTCACGCAGATAAACATGGGCTCGTTTCTTCCGTGTTGTGCTGTTTATGCGCCTGGCCGTGTTTCCCGCAGCCGAGTTGGTCGCATAATTTGACTTCGATCAAGCACTCACTCCGTGTTTTATGCAGAAATCATCGGGTGTTTGTCCTGCTGTGCTGACTCACTGCGTCTGATTGTCTGAACTTGATTGATTCAACATGTTTCAGACACATCTGGTTTTGCCCGAGTCATGACTTGAGAGGTTTTTATGTTGCTGTTGATCACATTACATTGTTTTTTGTTGATCATAGACAGGGTTTACAGGCCAGATTAGACATTGACTGTGCAGACCAGAGTCAGTAAAGGAATGAACATAATATAAAGTATAAAATGTGGAATCTTCTATTTGCAATAATGACTTTCTATGTAATCTCTTGCCATGAGTATTGTACTTGTTCAACAGCTTAAAGGGTTAGTTCACCCCGAAAATAAAAGTATCTCATAATTTACTCATTTGAGTATATGATTTTCTTCTTTTAGCCGAATACGCAATCAGAGTTATATTAAAAAGTATCCTGGCTATTCCGAGATTAATGGTAGTGAATGGTATCTGAGATTTTGAAGCCCAAACAAAACTGCATCCATCCATCATAAAAGTGATTCACACGACTCCAGGGGTTAATAAACGCCTTCTGATGCGAAGCCATGCGTTTTTGTAAGAAAAATATCCATATTTATAACTATAATCAATGGTGACCTCTGACCCGACACATGATATCTGACCCGGTGTATGACCTCTGACCCGACACATGTCGTAGGAGTAACGTAAGCTCAGCTCATGCTTCAAACAACAAACTCAAGCCCCTCCCTCATTTCTTAAAAGACTTCTAATTTATTTTGTTTTTCTCAATCCTCTGCACTTCCACTTTCATCAGAACGTCATGTTCGGGTCAGAGGTCATGGTTTGGGTCAGAGGTCACGGTTCAGGTCAGAGGTCTTTTTTTCTGCCGGAACTAGACCGTAACCCCTGCAGCCGTACGGATTAATTTATAATGGAGGGATGCACTTTTATGGGATTCAAACACTCATATTACCCATTATAATTTTCAATGTTCTTAATATTTAATACATGTTTGGATAAATCCGTCAAGTCAAATGTTTATATTTAAAAAAAAAATTGAATTGTAGTAGAAATACAATTAAGTAATAGTACAGTTAATATTATAATAAAACTTAATCTTTAATATTATAGTAATGTAGTACAAATTGACTCCCATGTATTGTTTTCGGCATTGGAGATTCTTTTCCCTCTCAGAAATAATTGATATCGAATTGAACCGGATTCGACTGCAAGTTACTGAATCGATATCAAATTGAATCGTGATATTGTGGCAATACACAGCCCTAATAATGATGTCAATACGCAGCACATGATACAGAAATCTGTCTCAGTGTAGAGTTTAAACATTTTAAATTGTGTCGAATCTTTTTCGATTGGCGAAATTCTTCTGTATTTGAAACATGATGCTCTATATGTTATTGTCTGCAGTGTATCTATGCTGCACTGTACTGTTGTAATCTTCTAATTAGCAGCTCTTCATGTTAAATCCGGAGAGATTAGTAATTAGGTCTGGACCCCTGTGAGTTTATACTGTAGTTGCCTCAGAATCTAGGGCCACGTTTGTTATATTAATTCTTTCTTATGGCATCCTTATAATGTAGATCACAGATGTTGTTGCATTTGAAAAACCATCGTGAAGCTAGAAGTGATCTAAGAAAATGCCACTTGATTTTTCAGCAAATAATCCATTCTTGGAAGTTTTAATTGAACAATGCTTTGTAGATGCAGAGTTGTATTTTTGTGTGCACTTTGTAATTTTATGTAACGATGCATGGCTTTTCAAAGTTGCAAAATGTTTTCAAATGTTTACAATGAATATTAAAGTTCCCCTGTAGGCAATAATTGTATCCCTTAAAACTCACCAAAATGACTTTTTTAATGCTTTAAAATATCTTGTATGTAACTCGACACCCTCGTCTCATTTAATATACATGGTTCTATGAATATGCAAATGAGCCCCGCCTCCACTCACTCCCTCAGAGATCCACTGGTTGTCGATCACACGTTGATCTGATTGGTTATTACAAGGTGGTTTGTGACGTCAGAAACACCAGCGATTTCAAAGCGTGTTTTTTAGACTGTCTTTGGTTCACTGCAGTTTTAAGGAGGAAATACTCTCTCACCTTATGAATTTACACATGGTTTGTTTTAAAGCATATCAAAAACATCACATAGACACTTAAACAACATTAAAAGCTGGATTTTCACCACAGGGGGACTTTAATATTTTGATCTTTTTTAATAATATGTTTAGAGATATTAAACTGAATTAGAGCCAGACCGATATTATCGGCCGATATTAGGCATTTTCCAAACTATCGGTATCGGCAGTTATAATGGCCGATAAATGAATATTTCAAAAATAACATAAAAACAGACGAAACACGCTTGAACCAAGTCATGAGTGTTGGAGTTGTATGGTTTGTCCACCAGAGGGCGCTCTACACCGTTCCTGTTGGCAACACTCGTTGAATTGTTCACGATACATACTGCTTGAATAACAATTAAAAGATCATCCCCATCAGTTCTCTTAACTCAAATAAGCATGACAAAATGTGTGACTATCATGTCCAGTTTCAAATAAATAAAAATATCAGTGTTGTAGTCGAGACCACCTCACTCGAGACCGAGACCAGAGAGAGTCGAGTCCGAGTCGAGACCGAGTCCATAGACGGTCGAGTCCGAGACCAGAGAGAGTCGAGTCCGAGTCGAGACCGAGACCAGAGAGAGTCGAGTCCGAGTCGAGACCGAGACCAGAGAGAGTCGAATCCGAGTCAAGACCGAGTCCAGAGACGGTCGAGTCCGAGTCAAGACCGAGTCCAGAGACGGTCGAGTCCGAGTCGAGACCGAGTCCAGAGAGAGTCGAGTCCGAGTCGAGACCGAGACCAGAGAGAGTCGAGTCCGAGTCGAGACCGAGTCCAGAGAGAGTCGAGTCCGAGTGGAGACCGAGACCAGAGAGAGTCGAGTCCGAGTCGAGACCGAGACCAGAGAGAGTCGAG